GGACAGACAACGGCTTTTTTGCTTTTTCTTTTTTTAAATCTCTGCTTCCTCTTCTGCCAAATGCAAAGCTTTCCCCGCTGTGGGCAGAGTGGAAAGGAGGTTCCAGGAGCATCACAAGTGGAACTCTGGACCTGCATCTATCTGCCTGATGGTGATGGGAGCCTACAAAACATGACCAGAGCGTGCCAGGAAGACCCAGATGGGCCCTCCGCGCAGCCCTCCTCCAGGCCTGATGCTCACCTCTTGGAAGGAGGGGGCCCACGTCATTCACTCTGGCCAGTGGGTCATATTAATCTCTTTTCTGACCTCTGGGACCACCACGATGGCGAGAGGTGAGAAAGGCAAGGTTCTGGACTTGCCCAAAGTGATGGGTGATGCCAAATCTCAAAGGAAGGAGGCAGGGAGGAGAGGGCAGGAAGGAAGAAGGAAGGAAGGAAGGAAACTGCATATAAGCCCAGGTGAGGAAGAGCACGGGTCACCTCCTCACTGGCCAGGAGGACCAGCAGTGGTCATTGCCAGGCCCAGGGACACCCCCATGGTCCTGCACGCTTCCCCTGAGGAATCTCCAATGGACGCCCCTACAGGGAAGCCAATCCGCAGGCGCCTGCCGACCCAACCACTGAGGACTGGCTCGAAAGGCTGAGCAGGCTGAAGCCACTTCTGAGCGCTGGCAGCCGGGAAATGCGAAAGCGGCCCAGAGGCAGCTCTCACCGAGGAGAGCTGTGCACTGGCAGGCGGCCATCCCCGGGCCTGCTGCACGCTGGGTGAGAGGCACGGGCCAGGTGAGGGGGCAGGCGCACAGGTGTGGGGAGGAGTGGGGGGAGCGCACACGGGACATGCAATTCCTGAAAAGCAGCTTCATGCCTCAAATCCTGCTTCCCGGGTCCTCCGTGGCCCGCAGTGCTTGGTCTGGACCCTTCCAGTCCCCCTCCTGTTCCGCTTGAGCACGTCTGAGTGTATTTAATTCCTTTTCATCTTTAAGAATTTTCTAGACACTGGTCCCATTTTTTACAGACAAGGAAACCGAGCTCCAAAGAAATTAATTTATGCAAAATGCTCACGGACTCCTAACTGAAATCCTTCTACACTTAGAAAAGAGGAACATGCTCACAGAGACACTTTTCTGACCCCAGAATAAAATGCATTCACTCTGCCCTTCCCAAAGCCCCACGGGCTTTAAGTAATGAACTAATAAAGGAGAAAACTCTAGCCAGAGAGATAGGGAAATGAGGGGTTTTCTGATTAGACTGGGGAGTTCTTTGTAATCTGAGCGAGTTTCAGGGAGAGATTGGGAGGCTCTTGAAATAAACAATGGTGGAGTCATCACTCACTCCTTTATCTCCAAACCAAGTATGTTAAACATTTCTCATCTGTTCTCAAGACTTCCCTGCTGGAAGGAGGCTGAAGAGGGCGGGCCTCGACGAGGCTAACACACAAGGCTTTTACGAACGCAGATGCTGTTCTGAGCGTCACTCAGTGCCTGGAACGAGGCTCGGCTTTCTCCTGTGTCCACATTCCCCGGGTTCCACGGAGCCGGCTCATGAGCTCACTCAGATTCAACCGCACTCTTTACTGAGTGAGGCAGCACTGAGGGGAGACATCAGCAGGAAGAGATGTTGAAAGAAGCAGAGCCGTATCTCAGGTTCAAGGCCTGGCTGGGGGGGTGGGGCGCCCTCTGGGACAACGTGAGGTCAGACCTTGCCCCTGGGAGTGTCTTGCAGGCCTCAGCAGGGGCAGGATCGCAGTGCCCCGGGGGCATCTGGCCAGGGACAATCCCAGCAGGCCTGGGCATCCATGCCAGACTGAGCCACTCTGTCTTGACAGCAGGATCTCCCACCACACGGACTGGAGCCTAGTTCTATCCTCAAAGGTCACAGCTTAGTAGCTGCCCGGGGATGGGGGCAGGGGTGATGGGAATAATTACTTCACGGGGATAGGGGATTCTTCTGGGGCTTGGCTAAGCACCGACGTGAGCGGAAGGCACTCCATTCCAGGAAATGGCACACTTTAAAATGGTTCCTGGATATTATGTGAATTTCACCTCGAAACGAAACAAAACCCCCAAAACTCCAGCCCATCAGAAACGTCTGGAGATCCCTGGGCTGAAAAGTAGCCCCTGAAAAGAAGACCCTGTTGGTGCTTCTCCACATAGTCCAGGCCAAGGGTGCCTGGCCAGAGTGGGCCCTACCCAGAGAGAGAAGAGGGGTCCAGGTAGCTAAAGGGTAACTTCATTTAAGATCGACTCATTCTTGAATTGTATCCTTGACTTTTAGGTAAATGGACAGTTCTAGGAGAAAAAGTTGGTGTCACCTCTAAAAATTAGCAACATGGCTCACATTCATGGCTTGTCATTTGTTTTTATCGGGCCAGCACGGGACTGGGGACCCCTGCCTGCATGAGGTGTGCATCTTCCCAGGACCAGATAAGGCGGGGTGGGCCAGGAAGGGGTAGCTTAGGGAACGAGCCTCACCTCTTATCTGTAAAATGGACAGGACAGGGCCCTCCTTCAGGGCTCGAGCAAGCAAAATGGGAGGGCAATTGGCTGAAGCCTTCCTAGGCACTGGCAGAACTATGGGAACAAGCTGTAGCCTCCCCTGGAGGAGGAACTGGGCTGTCCTTGGCTGGCACGCTTCCTGAGGAGCTGAGGCCAAGCTCTGGCATCTGCCGGTTACACAGTCATTCACACGGGTCTGAAAGTGAAGAGAAAGGCAGGGCTCATTTCTGCTCCCTCACTTGGTCCACCATCTTGAGTGCAGCCTCGAGCAGGTGTTTTAATGAACGATTTCTGATGGAAGTAACAAGGGGATTGCTAACAGGCTGAGACTTGCTGGAATGACACGGAAAATCACACAATCAGGCAGAACTCTGGACATACACACTGAAACCCCGGGAAGCTCCACCTCACAACGAACCTGAGATAAATCAGATCTCAAATATTACAGATGCACATAGAAAACCGCGTTTATATTCCTGGGTTGCGGGGTGGGGGGAAGCCACAAAAATTGGCTGCATGTATCACAATGCCTTTTTTTGACCATAGCCAGTCGATGAGTTCTCTAAATGCTGCAGGACACAGGACACACGTCTACTCTCCTAAAATCTCAGCCCGATGGCACGTCTGCCACCCCCCCAGAACAGGCAAAAGTGAGCCTCCCAGGCTCACAGGAGCCCTTTATGCCAAGATGGAGACAAGAGGCTCTACGCTGGGTCACCTCCAGGTAGAGGGCCCCATCCTACCAACCTGCTTCGTCTTCCCAGACATCTTGCTGCCCCCAAGAACCCTGGTTCAGTGCCAGAGAAAGCAAGGCACATAAATACAGCTCAGGTTACTGCTGGAGCAGGCGAGGGGTCCTGGGCAGAGGCCCCAGGAACCTCCACTGGCCTTATTCGGTGTGCGGGAGGGGTGGGCCCGCACTCGCCAAGCTGCACCCTAAATCGAAACCCAGAGGGGAGATCACGTAGGGGGTCAGATAGCGAGTATGTTGTACAACCCACTGGTGTCAGGCAAGTTTATCTAGAGAAAAGAGCCGAGCCGCATATCTGCTGGCTGATTTCAGAAATCCTGGCATTCTGGATGGTGCCAGGCCAAAAGAATGCGAGGAATCTGGATGCCTTTCACTGGGTTTCCCCGCAACCCAAACAGACCACAGCCTCCAGGGCAAAGGGCTGTACTTATAAGGCAAGGGCAGAAGTATTTTAAGTCCTGAGACCTCAGTGTGGAGAGGACTGACCCTGGGACCACAGAGCTCCTGAATTCCTCACATCACTACTGAAAAGGCCCCAGGCGTGTAATGTGCAGGCACCCCCAACATTCTTTCCGTCAGAAAGCAGATACTGGAAAACAATGAGACCTGATAGAAAAGGTGGGGAGAGAAGAGCTTTGGAACAAAATCCAGTCATCCATCCCAAGTCGAACAAAGGATGCAGAAGACTTAAGGAAAAACCTGGAAGGATCCAAGTGGCTCCCCATTTTACTTGGAAGGGTTTTTGTTATTCCAACGTGATGGGGAAGGAGGCAGCCTCTCAGCGGCTCCTCGTGAACTGCCTCTTCCACACAGTGTACGCAGAGGATCCATTTAATTCTACCGGATCCTTTCACCTGGTAAGGGCACAGAAGGCTCTTCATCCCCAGAAGACTGTGTAAACGGCCCCACTGCAGTGACTGTTCTATCACTGGCCAAGGGAGAAAGAATCCAGAGCCGCTAACATCCCACCTCTGGGTGAAAGGAGATGCGGACCACAGCGATCCTGGGATCAGTAAGCCCTGGACAGACTTGTCCCATCACCACGCTGTACACCTGAAACTAACATAACATTGCATGTCAACTGCGCTTTAATAGTAACAGTTAAGAAGAAGAAGAAGAAGAAGAAGAAGAAGAAGAAGAAAGAACAGCCAAGAAAATACTTGAGGACATTCTATGAGGACACCATTCACTCTTTCCTGGCTACAGCAGCATGCCCGGTCTGCCACTGTGTTCCCAGGCCCGACACCCGCCCCGAGTCCTGGCGTAGGCGAGCCATAACCACGGCCACACGGAGCTCTCTCAACCTGTACGTCGTCACTGATGGCCACTGTTTGGGAGCTCATAACCTCTTCTGTTGTTAAGACTAACTCCTCTGTGCAAACAGGAAAGGGACAGCCAACCCTGGCTCTGCCCCACGGCTGTCAGGGCAGAGAACAAGCTGCCCGTCTGGCTTCTGGTAGAGCCAGATGTTCCCTGGGTGGCACCAGAAAGGGAAGTCCCTGGTGCCATGTGACCTTCCCTGGTTGGGGAAACTGAGAGCTGACAAGGATGTGAAGACAGAGCCGTGAGTGAGACGTCTGCAGAGCTGTAAAAGGCCAAGAAGCTTCTGGAAGTGACTCCTCCCTCAGGAACTGTCGCGTGGGCATACGGGGCCCATCTCCCTTCAGGGGTCCCTGCACCCTGGCCATGACACAGTGGCCTCCACGCAGCAGGCGGGGACAGCTGCTCTTCCAACACCCAGGCTGCACAGCTTACCTCCGACAGGCCACCTGCTTCCTGACGTCAGAGTGCAAGTCCCAGGACCTGGCCTCCCGTCCACAGAAGGCAGATGCTGCAAGACAGAAGGGGAATGTGGGATTCAGAGCCTCAGTCAGTGACACCTCATGACGGCACTTTCCCTCTTCCACATCTAGGGTGAACTATGCCCTCAGCCGTATTCACACGGTAAGGTGGGGACAGTGGTAGGCGCTGCGATGTGGCCCCAGATGCACCTTCCATCACTGCTGCAGGAGCAAGGCCGGCAGAAGGAAGGCCCAGGCCGGGAACCGGCCCCTGGAGACCCCTCCCTCCCTTCCCCTCCCCTCCCCTCCCCTCCCCTCTCCTCTCCTCCCCTCCCTTCCCAGAGAGTGCACAGGGGTGAGAAGCTGCCCCCTCCTGGCTCCCTGCTGCTGAGAACAGGAGGCAGGGCCTCCTGTGGGGTCTCAGAGGCTGGCCCTGGCCTTCCATGGACCCAGACCCCAAGCACGCGCCCCCAGAAAACCTCTCACACAGACCTGTATCACAGCCTGCAACAAGGCTATTTTTATTTGCCATTTTTTAATCTGTTACTTGCTATTTTTTTAATTTGTTATTTTATTTACTATTTTTATCGGCTCTTTTGCTATCTTCCCCCAGGGCTGTGTCTCCCCTCACCTGCGGTCACTTCTGCTACAGAGCCTGGCCATTCGACAGAATCATCTCATGGCTGAACCCCAGAGATGCATCCCAGTCTCCCCGCCAGCAGCGGGGCTTCCTCCCCACACAGGATACCCGGTCACTCAGGAGCGGCTTCCAGTCCCACTCAACCTATGGGACGTTACACAGCCCACATCTGCGAAGGATCCCTTACACCAGGATGGCGCGACGGAGGGGCGGGACTGATAGTCACCATGCGGGACTCCCCCCCAGCGATGGGCTCCTGGCCCAATCACGTTGTGAAATGTGAGGCTGAAACTGCATCCTGGATGCCCTCCCCAAATCAGGGTCACCGGGCCTGCGACGTTCCGGCCCCCTCCCCTGAGAACAGATGGCAGGTACAGACCCTCTTCTGAACGGGTGTCTCCCATGCGACAGCAAGAGCGCTGGGGCGGCTGGCTAGTTTTCAGGACGCTGCTCCCCCTGACCCCCCACTTCAGGGCTTCAACAGTAAAATGGGACTCCAGAGGTACAGCAAGGTGTGCACATAGGAAAAGAAATCAACCCGAAGCCAAGAGAAAAATGTGTCATGGACACAGTTAATCTCTAGACAGACAGAACTTGGCACAAGCGACATCCAAAATCGCAAAGGGAAGAGCTCTATCAAAGTCAACCAACGCTATGCAAACGGCAACGATGTGAGAATGTTTATTCAAACATGACAAAAGATTTAGATCCCAAAGGAGACAGAAAAATGCGGGCTGGGGACGGGATGTTCAAGACATGGGGAACAAGATACTGCCGTCCAGCCGGTGTGCTGACTGTGGACGTGTCTGCCTTGCTACCCGCGGGTCCAAGAAGACTCGTGGGACTCTTGAATGTTCGTCTGGACACTCGCGGCACTCAGAAGATCAATGCCACTTGAGAGCTCTCCTCGTGTTAGAAAGGGGGAAACGTGCTGAAAAGGGACAGGAGGCGGTGACAGTATTAGCAGACGTGGCTTCTCAGCAGGGGGTTGGGGGGGCTTCTGTGTCCCGTCTCTTCTCTTGCTGATCTGTTCCACAGTGAGTAGAACATGACATGGAGCATTTCCTTTTTTCCGATTGTTAGAAGTCATCCCTCCTGTCACAACACCAGCCTATATAAAACTGGGGTGCCTCCTTTCCTATTCCCCACCCCTCCCCAAATCTTGGCTGGGGTTGTGGGAATCTCTCGCAGCATTCTGTCCAGGTGCCAGCTCTGCTGAGCCTCACTCCCCTGCTCTGGTTTGTGTGTGGGGCTCCCCCGCGCCGGGCCAGGTGGTCGGGAAGCGGCAAGCCCGGAGTTTCCTGGAGGAGCACCCCCCACCCCGTCCCATGCTCCCTGCCTCGGCCTCCTGCACCCCAGGCTGCCCAAAGCCTCTCTCGCAGCCACAAAATACACGTTTGCTGAGAAACTGCAGACCGCTACGTCATCGGAACCACAAGAAGTTGCCAGGTTTTTTCTTTACGAAGAGCTAACCACAACACTCGTATTCCCTGTTGCTTTAAAGGCTGAGTCACTTAGCATTTTGAGGAAAGGGCCTTGCGAGCTCTCTGGGGCTTGCCATTTGCTCCTTCCAAAGGATCAGTTAGGTAGAGGGTTTAATTTCATCCCGTGAGTCTCTGGCAGGTTCCCCAGACTAGGGGTGACTGGGTCAACTCTTACCTCATACCTACCATGGGAGGACCCAATGTTGCCCAACAAGCTGACTCAGAGATGGTCATGCTGGACTTTGGGCATGTACGGGAGTGCGGGGGCATGGACACACAAGTGCACACACACACACACACACACACACACACAAACACACGGAACCCTTTGGCAACTTGGTGCTGGGAGTGCCCGGAAGGAAGGGGATCTGGTTGTGAATGGTCCCACCGGTGAGGTCCCAGGGGGGAATGGATTACGTGGACAGGATCCGCTGGTCCCTCTCCAACCTCCTAGCTCTGTGGTCGACCTCCGAACGCCCCTCATTTCTGCACAAAGACCAGTGCTCCTGAGAGGCAAGCGGACATGATCTCTGGACCAAGCACTGCTGTCCCCAGAGAGTGGCCATACACCTGTGGGGGCTCCCCAGTCCCCAAGGCCCCCAGAAGAAACCAGAGGACTTCATGTGGGACCATCAAGTTGGCATCAAGTCCCAAGTCTAGAAGATGCTCAACTCCCTGGTTTTGTGTCATGAAACATCAGTGCTGTCCTTGGACAAAGTGGACAAGAACCACCAAACTGTCAAAAAGCAATGCGGAGAACACAAAATTCTGTTGTCTCTGGGAGTCTCTGAACATGCCGTGTCTTCACCTACAGCCCAATGTCCCCTGTCTGTCTGCCAGTAGCTGTTTTACCAGCTTCCAGTCTCAGCTGAAGACACAGATATGGAGAGTTTACCCTACCTGAGGAGGTCTGGAAATCTGGGGGCATAAACAGTAAGAGGTCACGACATTTTGACGGGAAACTATATTCATACAAAGACAGAGGGGACAGCTTTGTCCTACGTTCTCACTGCAGGACAGTCACCAACAAGACACTCAACCAGGCTTTCCACATCCCCTGTTAATACATGGAACTATGCTCCCCCAAATTCTTATGTTAGAGAGTCCTGCCCTAACCCCCAGGACCTCAGAATGTGACCTTATTTGGAAATAGGGTCTTTACTGAAGTAATGGAATTAAAATGAGGTCCTCAGGGTGGGTCCTGCTCCTATGGGATGGGTGTCTTTACAAAGGGGGAAATTTGGAGGTACACACACACACACACACACACACACGGAGGTCCACCACATGAGAATGAAGACAGAGATTGGAGTGAATATCACAAGAAGCCAGCAAATCACTAAAAGCAGGAGAGACTCACAGAGGAGATGCTCCCTCATAGCCTCAGAAAGAACCAGCCTTGCTGACGCTCCGTCTTAGACTTCCAGCCTCCACACCACGAGACAACACATTCCTGGTGCTCACGACGCCCAGCAAGTCCTTCGCTAAGGCAGCCCTAGGAAACCATTGTGCTGTATCTGCAAATCGGAAAAGGAATTCTCACGATCCTGACCATCTCTGGGACTGCTGTGGGGATGACAGGGTTTTTTTAAGGTTTCCAAGCCACCACAATGGACATGTATGGCTCCATCAGCCAGAGGATCGCTCGTACCCCATGTCAGCCAATCTCTGAAGTCTCTCCATGGCAGGAACGGGTTGTCCCTCATCCCTACGCCTTATGCCGCAAGGCACCAGAGTAGTCGACTGAGAGCAGAAAGCAGAACCAGACAAATTCTTGTCCTCCACCGGAGGCAAACTTCGGCCCCAGGGCCAAATCTAGGGCGTCATCTGTCTTTGTACCACCCAGGAACAAAGAATGTTTTTGTATTTTTAAAAATAGTGGGGGTGGAAGATGAAAGTAAGAGTATTCTGGGACATGAATATTACATGAAATTCAAATTACAGTGTCCGTAAGTCAGGTCGTGGTGAAGAGCCATGCCTATCGCGTATACAGAGCTGGAAACATTCCGTCTCACCTTCTACTGGGAGAGTCTGCTGACCATTTCTGTATGAGCCTTACTTATACAATGGAGCAAAAAGGGCCAGGCCATGGCTGGCTCAGGGCAAAAGGAAGTGGGCACGTGCTTAAACGCCAGCCTCACCGAGAGGAGGCAGGGAGGAGAGAAAGAAGAAAATGGGCATCATGGCTTGAAACCCAGACAGATAATGGCCCCAAAGACAAATTCGGTCAGCTCACACAGCTATCTAGAGCTGCTATCCCTGACCTCAGCCAGGGAGGCACTCCCCTGCCTCCAAGAGCAGCTGAGCACCATGAGCCTCAGAACAAAGTGGGTGACAAAAATTGGGCATTCATCCTTTCTGATGGCTGCGTAATACTCCACTGCACATATGGGCGATCCGAGGGGGAAATGAAGCTTGAGAGACTGTGGACGAACATACTGAGGGTTTTGGAGGGGAGGTGGTTGGGGGGGGTATAAGTGAGCCCGATGGTGGGTATTACGGAGGGCATGTATTGCATGGAGCACTGGGTGTGGTGCATAAACAATGAATCTTGGAACACTGAAAAAATACAATAAAATATAATTAAAAAAAAAAAAAGAACAAAGTGGGATCTCCTGACCTGACTTTGGCCCACGTTCTTCATTGTTATCAGAGGAAATCAGTCCCTTTTAAGAGCGCCAATTAATGAAACTAAAATGTATAAATATGTAAGTAACACTTTGGCAGACTGGCAATGGCCTTTACGTCCAACGTGATCAAAATCCACACATACAACACCATGAACGGGAGCCTATTCAGCCAAGTGCGGGATGAATACCGCTAAGGGGAAGTGTCTGAAATCTCACCTGACTTAGGTGGTGACATTTTCTTACCCAGAATGCAGAGCTGGTCCCTGGTATTTCCCCTAGTTACACAGCATTTGGAA